TGCGCAGGCTGCATCTTCTCATCCTCCTCCTTGTCCTTCCTCCGGATGCTTCAGGTGCGGGGTGCAAGGATGTCTTGGACAAGGTGTGTGGAGTTCTAGGTTCCATTTTGGGTCTGTGTTAGATTTCAATCTCAGGTTTTTGTGGCTGAGTCTACCCTCTCTCAGCAGCCACAGGTGGCAAGGGGGATCTTGCCGCCAAATTGGGCTGCCCACACCTCCCGTATCTTTAATCGCCCTAAGTCTTTTTCGACCTGTTCCGTTGTGATCTTCACACTTCGCTTGACCACATTCAGGCCAATCAGCGGTTCTGGAAATAAGGGGTGGTGGGCAAAAAGATTTCAACACGCTCATTGTACAAAGCTGTGCACAATTGTTTGAAGGTTTGTGTTTGGTGGGTGTCGGGATTGGGATGTAGAGGGCGATTGGCTGTGAAAACAGCTGCAAGTAATTTGGCCGCCCTGAATATATTTTCAGGGTGACCATGTTCTGCGAAACCCAAAATTGAGAAGTATACTAGAGCTCCTCGGGGTTTAGGAGCATGAAGAACATGTCCACGCCAAGATCCTAAGAAAAAAAGGGCAGCTCCTCACGCCATTGGGGAACCAGTGCCATGCCCTCATCTTTCTCCTTTCCTTCAGCCTCCAAGTCTGATGAGGTTTTTGGTAAAAAAATCTTGGGCGGAAGGGATTTCATCCTCTTCTTCGGCAGGGATGGTTCCGTAAGGCTGTTTGCTTGAGTGGTTCCCGCAAAACAGGGAATCACCCTTCCTCCTCAATTAGCGTTGACTCTTATTCCAAGTCAATGCCAAGCATCTTTTGTCTCCTGGGCCGGTAGTTGTAGTAGTGGTAGTGGTAGTAGTGGTAATGGTAATAGTGGTAGTTGTAGTAGTGGTAGTGGTAGTAGTGGTAGTGCTAGTAGTGGTAGTGGTAATAAATAGTGGTAGTGGTAGTGGTAGGTGTGGTAGTGGTAGCGGTAGTGGTGGTAGTGGTAGTGGTAGTAGTGGCAGTAGCAGTGGCAGTAGCAGTAGCAGTAGCAGTAGTTCAGTCCTGGAGGAATGCTTGTGGGCCCCCGCTTGCGCTCTTGCTTTCCCCTGGCTTTCCCCTTGGCTTTCCCCTTGGCTTTCCCCTTGGCTTTCCCATTGGCTTTGGGCGCCATGAGAAAGAAGGCAGAGAGGGGGATGCAAGTGAGGAAGCTTTGGTCCACCCAGATCACTTGCCTTGAAAGGCTTGGTGTACAAGGTGTGGCAGTAGCCACACCTGTGCACAGGAGGAATGCCAGCACCGCTGCAACCTTGAGGTACTGTTTCATGCCAACAGTTCCATATTTCATCTACTCCAGGACGGTTGTAGATTATAATTCTAAGTCAATAAACTAAATGATAGATTGCTAGATATGGATACCTCACATAGATTTATAAATCATAGATTGATAAGTCATAGCTTTATAGATACTCATAGATAAACATACATTTAACATTATCTGCAATAGTAGATGTATCTGCCATAACATGTTCGTCTATATATATATATATATGTAATACGACAGGCGGTGATCTCATGGCTTGATCGGCTTGGTTCCTTCCCCCGCGGAACCCCCTGCCTCCTTCTGTAAATTCACCTGTTGCCTTGTGAAGTGTGCGAAGCTGTCGAAAGCATCTTCAGCAGATGGCCTGGAGGATCCCTTGGCGGATAGCAAGATATTAAGATAAGTGGCTTTGTCTGAAAATAGGGTACGGTTATGTCCATGAGTTCATCATCATTTGTTCCAGTAAAGTAGCAATTTGAGCGGTATACGGGTATTTTCAGAGAAATCCAGATACTCAAAAGAGATAAGATATAAATTTAAGCCTCCACGATGAGAAACCAGTCTGCTTGGAAGTCGTCAATCAACTGCTCATGGCATAGCCCCATGGTAGATACCCTGCAAAACCCTGCAAAAAGATGTCTTTGGCCTTGTTTTTGGTACAGTAATTAATGTCCCCATTTACAGCCAAAGATTGTATAGTTAGTACCTAAACTATATACACATCCAAATCATCCAAATTTGACCGAAATTACGAATGACAAACTACCACATGTTATGTGAACTATTGTCAAACCATACATGAAATCCCTATCTTCAGTTGCCTTCGACCACTTCGATCTCTGGGCTCCGGGCGACAGCACACCCATCCGCAGACCGAGGCGCAACACTATGCTGGCGAGCAGCAAGTCAGCCTAGCACCCATGGTTTCAGGGGACTCAGACGTTGAGATGTCAAAATACTGTGGATGGTTGCAAAATCCTGCACCAGTTGTGATTTACCCAATCATTTATAGGTTTTCTACATTTTTCTACCATCCAAAGTGGCGCAGGATTTCGCAACCATGCACAGTATGTTAAGTTAAGAATCTAAATCAGAATCTAAGATCCCTGTTTTTGCAGCAAGAGCGTTTCAGAAATGATTAGTATCAAAATTCGGTGAGGAATGTGCCGAAGTCTTGCGATCTGTTAAGCCATCCAGCTGGTTGATCACAGTCATGGGTAAAGCATGGTACACAAGGTAGTGTCATGCCATCATACCGAATCATACCACCATCAGCAAATGGTTTGCTTAAAATAGGTATATGAAGTCCTAGAGTGAGGAAGACTATGCCCTTTTATGGGAATGTAAAACATGGTTCCTTCTGATCCTTCTGCATAAATGGTGTAAATATGTCAGTCTCGGAAGGGCCAGAGCCTCTAAACCCAATTCGTTTCTCCCAGTCTCATAGACCACATGTTGATCTACTTGGTTATGGGTCAAACATGTCAAAACTATTCAAAACTAGGTAAAGCCGAGAAAAAGTGAGATGGTTTCCACACTCCAGGCACTTGCTTCAGGCATCAAATTCTCAGCTGTACCACCAAAAAATCATGGATGACTGTCCAAGAAAGTCATAGATTTATGAAGCAAGAACTATACATTCAAATCTTCTGAATCTATGGATCATACCTTCTGGTAGTTTACCAGTTTTTTCCATGGAAGATGTTGGAAAATCACATGGAAATAAGAGGTAGTCGTCATAGCTTCCCAAACGATCTGGTAGGCTTCCATTACGGTACCAATCCACCAATCCCAGGGTTGCATCTATTGGCCGAAGGGGATGCTGCTGGAACGCAGCAACATGATGCCATGTCTGTTGACGATCATGCTTATTTGCTACTAAATCTACTAAACGACATTGTTACAGATCAAACACATTTAAACTATAGCCCTTGCTATTAGGCGTAATAATATCAATGATGGTAATGATATTCATGATAATTTATATAATAGTACAGAAAAAATGATAAGCATCGTGCAAACAATCACAGCCATCATCCTAACAACAAGGATTAGGGAAAAGAAACAAACATGACTAACTCCTCTGGTAAAGAATTGATCTTATCACATTGTGATATTCTGGTTCAATCTACTCAATAATTTCTTACAATGACAATTGTGGATATAATGTCGATCATATATTACATATGATAATGACCGTATGATCATCATAATCATAATCATATCATAATCATATGATTATCATATGATAATCATAATATACCATCATACCATGTTTCACCTTAACCGTCTTAACCTCCTACCATTGGTGCCCTTCGTCGAAAAGACGTTTCTGCTTCCGGCTCCTCCGTGGAAATCTCAATGCCAGGCCGCCGAGCCCTGGGGAGAAACCCAACGGAACATTCCAATGGAACAGCCCTGGAGGTGTCAATTTTTTCAATTGACATATGGAAAAATATGGAAAAATAGATAGGCACCATTTTTCCAATTAGATTCCAATAGGTGTCATTGGAAATATCATCTAAGAGGTACCATATGGAAAAATAGTTTTCGATTAGATTCCAATTAGACTCCAATTGGATTCCATAAGATGATGGTTTCAAAAATGATGTGAATCACATGATGTGAATCACATGGTAGGCAAAGGTTGTGACCGGCTGGAATGATTTAGCATGTGTTTTTTTCAAGAAGCATGTGATTCAAGTGTCAAAATTGATGATCACCTTGGTTATCAAGCCTACAGCTGTGCTGCAATCATTCTTGTTGGCAGCCCTTATCATAGGTACTTGACTCCTATAGCCTCAAACTTGAGATTATTTGGGCACTCTTCATTTGGGTCCTGTCCCAATCGTAAAGAGACCTCCTGTCCAGTTCTGTTCGTCTTCCAGGTGGGAATACCGTCCAAAACTGGTCACACAAACGGCGTTTGTTGTATTATATATAGTAGGACTCGGAAAAAAAAAACTCCATCAAAATGGCGAGCAAAACACATTCATACATGTATATACATTTCCACCTAGTACCAAGTCTGAGCATGATCAACGATATCTAAGAAAAAACACCGCCAAATCAACATACGCAGAAAACTAGAAAGCAACGATTGGGACACCCTGGGTGTTCATGATCTACCAGTACATTCATAGTGGGTTTTACATCTCTCGTTTCTTGTAATTTACCCTTGCTATTCCAATGAATGCCCCATTTGCAGATGGTTAAATCCATCAATTGGGCGTAAAACACCAAATTCACCAACAATTCCAACAAAATACCGTTGATATCCCAAATCATGAAGCCCTCATCTTAATCCCCGAATTCCATCGAATTCCGCCAAATTCATTCACCTCCAAAAACTCTGGGCCCCAGCCATACAGCAGCTCTGCATGCGCCAACGGCCTGCACAGGACCAAGTCGGACTGTCAAATTGGGCACCAGATCGGACAGCGATGTTGGGCTACCAATTTGGGATTCGGTCGTTTTTTATTCTTGTAAGATTCTTATTGATCATTTATTGTAGTTTACCATCCCAAAACGAATAAGGATCAAGAAATTTGAGCCAGGTCCAATCAAAATCGGAAAGTTGGAATGGTTCCCAAATGAAAATCTACCTGCCGAAATTGACCTTCCGGTGCATCGTATGGGGTCTCAGTTTAGTTTAGACCGATTCGATGTAGATTGTGATTGTGTGTGTGTGAGTTTTTTCCTCGCAGCTCGTAGGTGAGTAGGTCTTGCACACTGATGGTGCTAAACGAAGATTCCGAACTGCGATTGCAGCTGATACAAGAATTGATGGCGATCTGCTTGGTGATTTAACTCTTACCTACCTATTCATACATATTCTAGTAAGTGAACGATTGAAGTCTATGAAAAATGAAAAGAAGAAATGCTCAACTCTGATGCTATGACTTTCGACCTTAAACAATTCCAGACTCAGAAATGGCGTCCAAACTCATCGCTCAATGGTGCGCTTCCACTTGTTGCCTCAATGAAGGGCAACAAGTCCCTCTGCCTTTCTATTGAATCTGCGTTGGGAAGCCATGATGGGCGTGTTGCTCTTTTAAATTCTTATGCCGTGTGCTTGCAGTATCTATATTACAGTTATATACATACATACATTACAGGGGCCAGATGTAAGTATCTGATCCCATCATAAAACGCTTTGCGATTGGGTCAAACATTCGAGACAACCAAACTGCTGGTCCCTAGCGCTTCCACCAAACGACTGCTTGGTTGATAGGAAGGGATTCACTGGGATTCGATTACGAGCCAGTCCCCATCAAACCACTCACTTAGTACAACCCTAGTCCACCCAGTATTTCTCGTTGAACTCCCCATTTCTTGCTGAATCCCCTTGTTTTCATGTAGAAGACAGAAAGAAAAAGACTGATGGCAGCTGAAGGAAGCTGTGGAGAAACAGGCAGAGAGTTGGAAAGCACCGTGCACATCGTTATAGCACCATCAACATCCATCATTTTGGGGTTTCTATATGTCTATATCCATCATCTTTTGCTTCAAATTCGATGTTTTAAGGGCTCGGCTATGATACACCCTTACAACCAGCAGACGGCTTTTCGTTGAGACGGGGTGCCTAGTGAACTTCATGGACTGTTGGTGAACTCAGTTGGTGAAATATCTCCCTGGTGGTTGACCTAGCCCTCTGAAAAATATATGAGTCAATGGGTTGTCATATGACATATGACATATATATCATATATGAAATGGAAAATAAAACATGTTTGAAATCACCAGCCAGATATCTCATTAACCACTATTAACCACTATTAACCACTGGGATGTTTGAAACCACCAGCCAGCTCCACTGAGTTCACTCATAACCAAGCCCCCCAACTCCACCGAGGAACCGTCTGGGAAGACGATGCCGGTGCCGTCCCACTTTCCCTCGACGTTGGCTGGGCCGCCCTTGGAGCTAAAGTCGAAGATCAGGGTGTCCTGTGGGTCGGTCAGATCGGTCAAAAACATTCGATTTCATCAGATGTCATCCATACTTAATCATATTTCATGCATATCTGGGACTGATATTTGATTGATGTTAGCTAAGTTGGTGAACATAACTCATATATGTCACGATATTTCAGTAGGGTTTATGGAATGTTTATGGTAGATATAGGGGTGAAACGTGGTGAAACCTTTTTGCTGCTGGCTTTCAGGAATCTGGGCTGAATATGGGGTGGGGTTATTGGGTACCCCTAAAATTGGATAACTGATAACTAAGACTAAATCCGCCGAGCCCGGCCGATAATTACTACAATGTATGGAATCATACTTGAAGTTGGCAGTTGTTGAATATATGATTTCCATGACAAAGCACCGTGAATCATGGTGAGGTCGTCTAGTAAGGTCAGCCAGTAGAAGCTTGGAAGTTTGACGCGGATGGTAAGGATGGTAGGGATGGGAAGTACTTGGAAGTCACTAACCAGTCTAAACTTTATAACAGCAAGAACACTCATTGAAGGAGCCCCTTGGGGGGTGCCCACTATAGTGGCATCTCAGAACACTGAAAAATCCACGCGTACGCTGCGCTCCTTGCCCGGCTCGTAGGTCGGATAGATTCCTGAGGTGCCAACTTTACCAGCTTCGGCCAGCGGCAAAGTACCAAAAAAAGAGCAACCGCTGCTATCATGAATCTATCATATCTCTACATGCAAGGTATGTATATATCAACCTTCCTATATCGAAGACATTCGAAGACCCAAAACCTATCAAAGTATTCAGAAAATATGAAGGATGAATGACCAACAGCTGCCCAAACGATCTGCACAGCTGCAGCCCAGACTCTGAAGGCTTTCACCTCAATCACACTCACACTGTTGGTAGACCAGACTAGGGACAGTATGCTCTGTTCCACAAAGAACTGGAGGTCTATGCATCAGCAAATCGCGGTAAAACTGGAGATACAAATTGAAATACTGTACTTGGAGGATTGTCCCACATTTAGAAAGTGGTTATCCCATTTACAATGTGGGTGAACTAACCACTTACGTTCGCCAGTTATTGAGTGGGATGATCCTCCAAGTATATAGTTGTGTTCACCGTTTCTCATTGATACATGAGACATTATAAGACTAAGCCTTAGACTTGGTTCCACGCATGCTCTGCCGCCTATAAGCAAGTCTTCCAGATGTGTGTGTGTGTCCTTTGAGGAAACTACACAATTGATGACTACCCTCAAATGCCCATGTTACACAATCCAAAACCAATGGATTCCCAAGTGTTCTAGCTGTGTTTCCTCTTTTTCCCAAACCTGAAAAAACCACTGGTGAACTCTGGACGAAATCACCGTTCAAGGCCGGCCAAAGCACTGGACCTCGGCCCAGGCATCCAGGATTGCCATCAGTTCCAGTGACCACCATGGGGCCGTAGCCATCGTATTCGATCTTCCGCGTGCAGCCGGGGTGTTGTGGATCGCCTCAGAAAATTCATGGTGACAAATGCGACAAATATCATGTTATATCCCCAACAAATAGCGATTTTACGATATACCCAATGAACCATCTAAACTCTGAATATCATTGATATATAATGTAATATATATATATATAATTATGTATTATATATATATATACATAATATAACGAATGATGATCCGGTCATTTCACACCGTGCGAACTGGGAAATGGTCTGTACTAATAAATGATTTATACCATTCAACCATATGGAAACTGTATGTGGAACTGTTGTTGGGGATACTCATCCTATGGCTGATATGGGTTGAAGATAGAATGATTTAAAATCCACCAAGCAGTATATGATAGTGTATGTTATTGGCGAATAATGATTATATTAATGGGTGATGATGATGTTCATCCCACTCTGAGAATCTGTGATGAAATCAGGCAATTCCCACTGTTGCCATTGAAAGGGCTCCATTAAACATTGCCATAGCGGCATACCCCAATGTCAAAACTCATGTCCAACTTCTTGGTGTTTCAACTAAAATTGGAGCAAACAATCATGGACCCAGGAATAGACGTGTCAAACAAATTGAGAAAATTTGAGAAAATGGAATCCCTTCTCCCAAGTTCGGGAAACACTAAAATGGATGCCTGTGGGTGTCACGGGTGTTTTTTTTTCGCGAAATTATTTCCCACTTGAGGCATGACAAAAATGGTGGTTTTTGGTGATTTTGGTGTCTAGCACATCCCACTTTAAGAGTTTCTCATATGCCTGGCATGCCATGCGAGGTCACCCAGTTGGTTGAGTCACCCATCTCAAAAACTTGAGTCGTTCGGGGATCATCATGTGAATTGTCCGTTTTCATTGTACAAAATCCCAAGTTTCTGGGTTTTTTTTCGCCCACAGCATCTCAGGTCTTGTCCATTCTGTAGGATCTTGGGAAACTAAACACCTACGGACCTGGTCGGGAACAGCAGCCCATTCTTGTACCAACCAGCCAAACCCAGGTGTAAATTCTCTTCAAATCCACCAAAATTCAGTTGTGGGATGGAAAAATACATCTTAGACACATGTTTTTCAGGGATTTTTCAGGGTGGAGAACATGCTGGGTGATTACAATTCCCAAACCCATCAAAGTTCGCCATTTTGGGGTGATATATATATATATATACATAAGTATATATATATACATACATATGATATCATGTGATATTCTATTGTTGATTTTCCCATGAAACACCATTGAAACCATCAATCATGACTGATTATCTCAATAGTATTCCATCAATACAGATTGTTGGTTGCGTCTATTCCATTATATTCCATTCAACTCCAATTGACCAACGGTTATCATGTAATTATGCAGTAGCCAAGACAATTAGTCTTAGTCTCGCATCATGAATTTCCCATTCGTCCTCTTAAAATATCCAACTAATATCCCATTCTCATCATTAACTGTCATTAATTATAGTTAATAGTATTCATGCGTTATCATTAATTAGTATTCACCAATTATCATTAATTAGTATTCATTAATTATCATTAATTAGTATTCATTAATTATCATTAATTAATATTAATTAGTATTCATTAATTATCATTAATTAGTATTCACTAATCATCATTAATTATCATTAATTCTCATGAATTAGTATTCATTAATTCTCATTATATAATTATCATGAATTATCATGCCTTATCATGAATTATCCCCGTGATTAATGCTTAGCCCTGCCTGAAATCCCCAACCACTCAACTCCCAGTCACTAATGGTTCATTAAATCTCCATACTACATAGTCGTAGTACATTCATGTCCCATTTGTATCCCTCAGTTCCCATGAAATCCTATTAAAGATCCATTAATTAACCATTGAAATCTAATTATTGAAGTTCATTGGTTAAAATCTTGTACATTCATATCCCATATCCCAATCATATGAAGTCCATATGAAGTCCCCATTAATTACCCACTCAACTCCCAGTCACTGTAGTAGCCAAACCAGTCATCCGGCGAATCCCCGAAGGCCCGTGCCGACTCTGCGCCGGCCAAGCCCAGCGTGGCGGCCACGCCGGCCACGACGTTTCGGCGCGTCGACTCGTCCTGTCAGCAGGAGTTCACCAGCAAAACGTAGGGAGTTCAAGGGCAAAAATGCCAGCAAAAATAGGGAATGAACCAGCAAAAATGAGTGATTAAACATGATTAACCCAGATCCAACCAGCAAAAATAGGAATTTCATCATCAAGAAAGGGGATTGAAGAAAGCATCAAACACGAGTCTCAAAAAGAATGCGCTATACATTTCCCAAATGATGGATTTACCTATGGGAATATGGAAATCTAAGTCTGATGGTCCGAAAGATTTACCCAATCTTGGTCCGACGGTCACCGTGGGATCCCCGAATCAGAAAAACTCAGTCATTGTTTCAGATATTTTAGTCCCATTCAACTCCAATAGACACTGCATGCTTGAGTTAGTTATAGTTAAACAGTTAGTTATGTCATACATCCCATGAAATATGTCCATAAAATGGTTGGTTTCCCTGGTGAAATCCAACAATGGTAAGCTCTCACCAATGGTTCTGTTTCCCCACCTTTGGTGCTCCAGGCAGCATGAAGGATACGCCCAGCCGGGCGCACAAAAATCCAACCTGAGACCGCTATGCACTTCGAACCCCAAAACCTGAAACAGGATCAAACCTCAAAACTGCCAGAGATTCTGGTGAATTCACAGACTAAACTGGGAGATTTGGGATGAAGTTCCAGAGAATCCTTCATATCGCCCCTCACTTTCAAACATGTACACCCCAAGTTAAGCGGTTCAAAATGTTTGGTTCTACTGTGACTGAAGCTACCTGGCAAATGATGTCACCTTACAGGGTGGTCTCAGAGGGTACTCACTTTGCATCATCTTCCTATGCCATGGTCAAAACATGGGAGAAAGATTATAATCATCCAACCACGATTAAAATTCTCATCTTAGTCATCATAATTCCTTACTGGATATTGATGGTGCTATGACCATCGTCCAATAATCTCATCCAACTTCTGACCATGGCACTGCCATGAGGTTTACTGATCCCCAAAAAACAACAAGGCGAAGAGTCCAAGGGTCCAAGTGTATGTCTACAATCCATCCAGCTATGATTTGAGTATCTCACCAGAAATTAAAAATATTCGGCTTTATTGGAGTTTCATTTTATGAAGTCTCTTCATCTGTCAAAAGTTCTCGGACATTTTGATACATGTTGGCCTGCCAAAGTGATGTCTCCCTCCCATCAAGCAAGAGTCGACCAAGACAGCAAGCTGGGTTGATCTCCTCTTCACATTGGCACGACTCGCTGTCGTGGGACCGACCATGATGACGAGCCGCTGGAAGCAGCGCGGATTTGAAGTGTCACTCTGAGCCACAACTGATACCTCTGCCCTTGTGACCACGGCCAGGAGTTGATGGGGTTGACAAGGGTTCCTGTGTTGGATGAGGAGATACTGCACATTGAAACAGCTGGGATAACCCCATGTTGCGCCATTCACCACCAGTCATTGGGGCATTACTCGAGGAGGTACGAGAACTGGAAGGTTGAACTACCATGAGCAATCACATTTTTGGACAAAACCATCTCTCAATTCACATCGCACATCCATTGTTCATTGGTTCAATCCCCATCAAATGGCTGGTGAAAGAATCCAACTGTTCAGATACTCAATATTCCAGCATTGGTTGTATATGCCCACGGCATTTCCTCCAAAATATACACCATGTCTGACGGCTTCATCTAAATCCCCATTCAGGCTAAATAAGACACTGTGGATGGAAGAAATCCTGCACCAGTTGACAAACGGTTTATCCCATTATTTCAAGGGTTTCAACATGGCTGGGTGGTGCAGGATTTCTTCAATTTTTTTCCATCCACCGTATTTTTCATGCTTAAATCATTAATCATTCCCAAAAAAGATAGCAAAATATTAAACACGATATTGAATCACTAATCATTCCAATATATCATATCCATTAATCAGATATTTTCATATATGTTCGACATAAAAACACCAGCTTAGGATCTTCATTGGGGACGGGCTACGGGGCCAGCTACGGGTCGCTACATCCCGGAGAACCGAGTCGCCTCGGCCACCTTGGCGTTTTTCACTTTTCTTCCCCTCAGAAGATTCGAAGCGGCGCCGGGAGGGAATGGATGGAAAACACTATCACAATACAAATATACATATATATATATATACATATATGTATTTATGTTTATGTATATGCATATGTATGTGTATGTATATATATATATCAAAAATATATCAATATGTATTTGAGTGGACAAAACAATGTGTATGTACGCACCCTGTATGTACATAATATTCTATTAAAATCCATGATATGCAATATATGTACATATATCCCACAACTTTAGTGGCAAGTGTCTTTTCTATCTTTTGAGGGGTTCCTGGATACCTTGTAACCGTCAAGTTAATCTATCCCATCCAAGTGGATCATCATTCCAGTGGATACTGGTGGAGAATGACGACATTCTTCCCATCATGATTTTTTTACTATATAGTGTTGTTATTGTTATTAAATGTTGCTGTTGTGATTATTGTAATTAGTGTCATTATTGCCATTGTTATTATTGTGATTTTTGCTATGATTGTTAAGACTGTTATTATTGTTGTTTAATGTTATAATGCTATTATTGTCATCATGATAAGGATAAGGATGAGGATGATGATGATGATGATGATGATGGCGGTGGTGGTGGTGGTGATGATCATGATCATGATCATGATCATGATCATGATGATGGTGGTGATGATGATGATGATCATGATGATGATCATGATCATGATGATGATGATGATGGTGATGATCATGAGGATCATATGATCATGATGATCATGATGATCATGATGATCATGATGATCATGATGATGATAGCCAGGCCACCACCCCCAACTCATTATAAGTATCGTTTTGGTTATCACTAAATAATGACAAGTATTGTGATTGTTGGCATTGTTTCCACCTTTATCATAGTGGTGCCCAGCAAGTCAACTGGTTGACTTCAACGAACTGCACCACCTCGCCGCGGAACATCGACCATTCGAATCACCATTACTCTCCCGAATGGTAATTTGTTACATAGCTATTAAAAATGGCCATTTATAGTGGATTTACCCATTAAAAATGGTGATTTTCCATAGTTATCTTAGTTTACCAGAGGGTAGTATAGATGAACGGTTGATTAACGCCATTTTGTAAGCCACCCCTGACCATCCAAGATCATCCCAGACGCCAGGGCCATTGAAAGGCCGACGTTGGAAGATGTTCTGAGCACGTCGATGCCTGCGGCCCAAAGGGACCCAGGAAGACGGGTGCTATGTCGAGCCTGAAGCCATGAAAAAACGACAGAAAAAATGAGACAAAACAAGCAGGAATGGGGATTGAACTACATCTATACATAATAGCTTCTTAAACAATTCATGAGCATTGTTGAAGCAAGGAACATGGAGTTAAACCATGTTAAACCAACCTTAAAGGGTGGAATCTAAATGATAGAAACCGCAAACCCCGCGAGAACCAAAGCAAAACCATGGTTCCTCACGAGGTTGCGCACTGGCCATTCTTAAGATTCGCAGTGCAACTTGGCTCATACTCTACGACGTTCAAAAGAAAGTTGAAATCACATGAATCTAAATGACAACAGTCCTAGTTAATTCTGTGGTTGGTTAGGATTTATTGGTCAAGATTCGCCCTTCATAAACCAACACATTGGGTATCTGTGAAAATAGCTACCAGAAATCTCCAGAAATGGCATTTTTTTCAGCAATCCCTGGTGAAATTCATCGGATTTTGACGCCCCGTGCCTGGCTTTTCACCAGCTCCTCTTCCCGAAGCACAGCGCGAAAGATCTGCGGTGCAAGGGATGGTGGCCATGGTTTAGTCGACCTGCCAACATCCATAAACATCCAGTACCTTGGAGTTGAGTAGCTTAACATTTTTTCGGGTTTATGGATGACGTTATATATAATGATAAATATATATATATCATGATATTTATCGAACTAGTTCATTTTGATTCATGGTGACTAAAGAAACCAACTTACAACTCATCAGGGACCCCAGCTTGTGAATCAATGTGAAGATACCCAAATTAGCCCGGAGAGTGGTGGATGTTTGTCCCAGATTTTTATCGAGGTTTTATACACTTTGGGGGATTCTTTAGGGTTGCAGTAGGTACTCTTTATTGAGGATTCTTACGGTTTACATGAGGTTGGTTGAGTGTTTAGTCAGGGTTGATTTTGGTTTTTAGGTGTTTTTTGAAAGGTTTCCTGGTGTTAGTTTACAGTTTACAGTAGGGTTTATTTAGGGTTGGGTTAGGATCTGGTCCGTTGTAAGTTTGATTGATTCAGTGCTTTTTTAGGGCTGTTCGGGGCTTTGCCGTTTGTCGAATAAGTTTTAGTTTAAGCTCAAAAGATTGCAATTGACAGAGAATATGTTCAAGGCATGCATTCAAAGAATTTCTTGGCACTGTCTTAGGTACGCGCAAGAGTGCAACGACGCAGGCAATATCAGTATTTTGAATGTTTGAAGCTCGCAGAAAACATTCGCCGCATGTGGGGATTGCTACTGTTGGATACTTGTTGGTTATATAAGTCATTGTAAGTCCACCACTATTCCCAGGATATACCCATAAATATAACCCGTCCAGAACAACCCTTAAAACCGACTTAAGCATCATCTTGTCTCATAAATATATACATATATCATATACATATAAAACTAATACATACATAATCATACATACGCATATAATCACATGTATATATATATATATCCCGTCAAATGTTCCCATGATCTTCCCATGAAATGCCGGAGTTTCTCCATGAAAACAGCTTATCTTGCCTCTAGCACCCCGTCTGCCCCGCGGGGCAGCAGGTCCACCAGAAGCGCCTCGCGAAGCAGATAAGAATTGGACAAAGGTAGTGCTCTTCAGTGGTATAACCAACCATAAATATGGGGATAATATGGGATAATCATGGGGATAGGGATGGTGCTGTTCAGTGTTCTTTTCAAGAGTTGTTTTCAATGGTGTTTATTCTGTTTAATGTGTTCTTTTCAGCATAAAAAATGGAAGCAAAGAGTCTAGTTTGCAGATTTATGATTTGAAGTAGAAACAGTTGGTATACCACCAACATAAATGGATATATCATAGATCATATACGACAAATGGAATCCCTGAACCGTCAACATTGCCATGTTCACTTAGAAATCATCTTGGCCTCCATGACCTCCATGTTTTGGGGTTGCCATGTCAGCTTCTACTGGGGTAATGAAATGTGTGATTGGACTCGGACTAGTATATGGAATGCATTAGTACCACCTGCCCAAAAAAAAAAGGGGATTGTAGCGCTGCAACTTGCCCACATGCAACTAGCAGAGAAAGCCTACCAACCCTGCTATTACTCAAACATTCACCCAAGTCATGACATCAACCATTGCTGGAGGGGAGAGACAACGAACAGCGGTTCGATTGAACGATCGCCATGAAGCACCCACTGGTACAACCCAACAGAACCCCAGCAAAACTTCAGAGTCGCCAAGCGGAAAGTGAACCAAAAATACCCCTGCACTTGGATAATCCTGGTTTTTTTGCAGTAAGTGATTGTTCTGGGTGACTTTATTATATATATACATACATATAATATGTATATATATATATATATAATATGTATATATAATGTATATATTATATATATATTATATCCTCAAGGTAGCACAGTATCCATTGGTCATTTCGCATCCTCCCATCGGCCACTGGCCACTGGCCGCCTGCTGCCACTCGGCCCCGCAGGTACCTTCCAGTTGGGCGAAGAGCTCCTCGCGACGAACAAAACGAACAAGTCGATGTGGAGTTATCACGGTCAAATATGATGTCAATCATCCAATATTGTGATTGGGTAAACAATTAACATTATCCACGATTTCTAGACTGTGCGCATCTATATTTGTTTACCCTTGGGTGAGTGTATACAATGGTTCTAAATAAATAATATATTATATAATATATGTATATACATAGTCCTCCTGGAGTAGATACAGTAGCACATGGAAATATCTTTGAAAATTCCGTATTCTATCTAGTTCAGAATGATTGTGTATATATAAATATCCCCGTGTGCATTCTGCAGAGAAGTTGTGCCCACTAAACCGTTTACAAACACAGCCTTATACTACAAAATGATGCTTGAATCTGAACCAACCCCCCTTGCTACAAAATGGTTTGGGGGTTTTTATGATGGATCAAAAGCCAATGTCGGTCTCTACAAAATGACTTTACGTAACCATTTTGTAGTGAAAACGGGTTGCCATGAAAAATCATGATTCGCTACTAAATGGGTCATAGCATTTACTAGGGGAAATGCTACTGGGGCCCGGGTCATAGTATTTGCCGAGCACAAGTAAATACAACCTTGGGATTTCCATCGGATTCCAAGAATTGACCTTTCAAAAAAGGTTTGACAAAAGCACGGCGCAGGGGTTTTGAACTGCAATCGTCAGAGCTATGGGGCAGCAAAAACGATCTAAGCGCACAATTTCAAATTCAATTGATCGGTTTTGACCCAAATCTGTCTCATTTTTCCTCCTTAAAGTCTCTATATAAAAAGCATGTTTTTCGATCTTTTCGGGGCTTATCTGGAGGGGGGCGCAGTAGGTTCTACAAAAGGTTGTGCACGCGTGTGTCACTACAAAATGCAGTGCATGACACAAGTCATCCAGAAACTAGGACATCACGCATCGAATCGGTGCTTTGTGACATTGTGGGTGAAAGGAACTCTGAGCATGGATTCGTTGAACTGGGGTGAAACTTGACTATTGGACAAAAAGAGCAGGAACCTAGTAGAATGGGACAAATTTAGATTTTAATCGCATGTGATGGCCAAAAAAAGTGTGACAAAAGCACGGCGCAGAGGTTTTGAACTGCAATCGTCAGAGCTATGGGGCAGCAAAATTGATCTGAGCGCACAACTTCAAATTCAATTGATGGGTTTTGAAACCAAGTCTGTCCCTTTTTTTCGTCTTAAAGTCTTGTTTTTTTTTTCGATTTTTTGGGGCCTCATCTTACCACGAAATAATCGTGAGGCAAGAGCCAAAAATGGTCTGAGGGTCCAAGCTATATGTTCATGTGACCGAGCATGACTGGTAAAAGAGGGCTATAGGGCTTCCGGTACGACACAACGCATCCCAAAATAAATCACTACAAAATGCGTTTCCGATTTATGAGTGTAAAATGGAACGCCGCTACAAGATACAGTGCACACCCTTTTACTACAAAAACTGGTGCACGGGTCCATTTTTTTTGCTTGAATTATCCACGAATCAGAGGATGGTACCAAGCACGTGTTCACCCTTTTAGTAGTGGAAATGGTAAGGGGGATGTATAAATCATATATATCAACACATCACTAACCTGAAAATGACTTTTTTTCATACGGCCGGATGACTTCTGGAATCCTAACCATCATTCCAGTGACGTCACAGTGGGATCATTATCATTCATCCAGGTTACATATCTAATATAATATTTGCTGTTCATATGATTATCTACATGTCACTTGTATCATCTATACTATTTGTTTGATGCATATTAATTTGACGATGTATTCGTTATTGTCATAGAATCCAATCTATAAATATAATTATATATATATCAAAACTAGTTCGTCCTGTGCCTTCCTGTGCCATATGCTCCGTTGTGCTGGAATATCTATCGACATCAAAATGGCCCAGTTTCCTAGGGAAATATACCCAACATCAGCATCATCCCTTGCTAAATCAAGAAGAAACTCTAGCTGCCGCTCGCTGTCGCGTCTGAAAATGAGGATATCCGCTAAAATGATCCAAAATGACCATGTCATGCAAATTCCGTGGGAAAAATCATGATAGTCATGTTAATCAAATATGATTTAGGAACCGTTATTTTCCACAATAGGGTGTCCAAAAGGTGATGCCATTCCATTGGAAACACCCTCTGGTAATCAAACATGGCAATGGAAACTCCTCTATAAAAGAAAGTTTATAGCTGGGAAAATCCTCTATAAATGGGATATGTTCCATTGTCATGTTTGATTACTGGAGGGTAGCTCCAAACATCCCCAAACAATATAATATATACATATATAATATTATATCATAATTATAATATTATATATATAATTAACTAATTTAATTAGGGTTATCTCATTTACAAGCGGGTTATAACTCCACTTCCTAACCAATTGTCAACTGGGATGATCCTCCAAGTGAGTTACAACTGGGAACCCGATGGAAAATTCGAAGCTTCACCGCTCCTCCGGTCGATGCGTCTTCCCCCGCGAAGGCGCGCTACGCGAGGTGACGCCCGACTCCTGAGAACGGAGTCGGGCAATACACAACCACAACGGGCATCAGAAGTGTGCTCAACAGTCTTGTAGTTTTTACATAGCTATGGAACATGGTTATAAGATGTTATAAGGTTCAACATATATTGTTATAAGTTAATGGGTGGTTCTACCCTATAGTAAACTAACATAGCTATGGAACATGACCATTTAGTTCGTTGATTTACCTCTTTAAAATGGTG